GAAATGATGGATGTCCAAACACACACACACAGACACTAGCGCAATTTTCTGAAACTACATATACATTCTGTGATAAAGTTTCAACGTACGAGCGAAATTACATTTATGCGAGGCACCTGTGGCGTCATGTTTAGCTACTTGTCATAGGTGCTTCTGTGGCAAATGTTGAGAAGATGGCTAACTTACAGAACACCAACATATATGCAGTTTTAATACAATATCTTTAAAAATATATATATTTATAAACGTGTGGTTACACACTATACAAACAAGGTTTTAAATTATATACACAGACATCCTATGACGGCAATAACTTTAGACGCATTTGTTATTGAATTGGCTGACATTGACTGAAAAGACTATTTGCTCAAAATCATAAAATACACTTACTGTTACTGGGGTGACGGTGGATCGCAAACAGTAGACGACAATCCACACTTGAGGATTAACTTTTAAGCCACAACAACAGGATTAACCCACGAGTCCACGACAGAACATAAATTTACGTTTCCAAGAGACATTACCGGCTGTCGTCGTTGAAACAATGAAGGATGGTGTGTACAGATCACCGAGGGCGGGGTCTAGGCCACAGCCACACTGTCAATCAACCCCCTGTCTCCCGTTCTACGTCACAAAGACCTGGATCTCAGAACAGCTCGTTCTGAGGCAGTGCATATGATTTATTGAGATTGTAAAAAAACTACTGGATGGATTTTTATCATTCTAGGGTGGTTTTGCTCACACACTGCCAACACACATTTATGTTCAAACACCATGTAAAAGTGAATTTTCCATAATAGGTGCCCTTTAAATATATTATCAGGAAAAACAAAGTTTTAACAGAAAATCTTCAATCACATAGGCCTGGTTTCACAGACAGGGCTTAGATTAAGCCAGAATTAGGTTTACTGGTGTGCTTCTTGAAAAAAAAAACAATGGCAATGACATATTTTAAGATATTTTACTGCAAGTTGCTTTCAGTTAAAACAGCCCAAACATGCATTTTAGTCTGGGACTAGCTTAAGCCTTGTCTGTGAAACCGGGTATAAAATCTTATTTGGATTATTAAACTACAACTTGCTGCAGTGTCCGACTCCCCCACAATCTACATACAGTATATCCTTTTACCATATTTATTTCACCAACTCCATTTGTCATTGACTTTCAGGGTGATCCTCCACTAAGGTTGTGTTGCACCATGTTCTGTCAGCATCATTAGAGGGAAAGTGCATTGGTGGTGTGTGGTCAAATCCAACACCCAGCCAAAAAAGAAGCAATTGCTGCATGCTTACTGCGGTCATGTCAGCAGTAGAGCCTCTGAGGATGTGGGTACGAAACCGAAACGGCATCTCTCTGTTGCCCCAGTGGATCTAAAATAGACCTAATGAGTGTACTTGGAGTAGGAGTGTGTTGTGTACAAATAAGCTTGAATGGGAAACTGAGAAGGGAAAATGAGCCACATTATTAATGATGTGGTCTACGCTAGAGGCGTACAGTAATGAAGCGCTTTTCTGCAATTATGGTGAGCCACAGAATTACAGGCAGGCCATGTTCAGCAATACAGTTATAGCTGTAGGTCGTTTTTTCCTCTCCACTGCCCTTATGAAAATTATTTACCACGGTTTTACTATAGTAACTTATTAAAATGCCTTTGGTATTTTAGTTGAAACAAAGTTCTCTGATAGCAAATGTCTATTCAATGTGTGCGGTCTCAAACTCTTGTGTTGCTAGAATTGGCCAGCTGTTATTGGAAATGAATTGTCTGGTCAAAGCAAAGCAGTGTCATTGTGTGACACAACACATTAACAAAACATATATGATGGGCTGCTATTTTGGATTTTACACCGGATGGGGCTATGGATGTCAACTCTTCTTAAATAGAAATTAAGCAACCAACAAAAATGTCCTGATACTCTTGTTGCAGTCACAGCTTATAACTCGGATTTACAACAATTGTTGTTTTATTATGCCTGGCTTGGACACGCCAGCTCACCAAGCCTATGCCTGCTCACCAAGGCTGCATTTATTTGAGCAAAAATACAGTAAAAACACTTATTGTCATGAGTGGCTGTAGTAAATAGTACACAAAGACAAATGGCTCAAAAGGAAACAGTCTTTAATATCATAATATTTTAGAAAGTTAGTAAAGACAATGTTGTGACTACAGTGGCTCAACCATACGTTTATCAATCGACGAGAATACTTTTTGTGCGCAAAAAACAAACAAACAATAATAACGATTTTATTCAACTATTCATTTTCTTCTGTGTGGGCCTTTGAGTGAATTCACGTAGTGTAACAGCGCAACGCTTCTGTGTTGTACATCAGAACGTAGCTCATATTAGCCGACACTACACTCTAAAAAATGCTGGGTTGTTTTAACCCAATTTTGGGTAAAATATGGACAAACCCAGCCATTGGGTAAAAAATGTCATTTAAAAATGTAACCCAATGGCTGGGTTTGTCCATATTTTACCTAAAATTGGGTTAAAATAACCCAGCATTTTTTTAGAGTGTAGTCATGTGTGTGATGCATGTGATGCTGGCCAATAGCTGATGCTGACGTATCCAGAAGCAAAGGCAAAGTAAATACACAAGTAAATATGTAAAATAGAACAGAACTCTGACACTAATATACAGTACACTCTAAACATTGCTGGGTTGTTTTAACCCAACTTTTGGTCAAATAGGGACAAACCCAGCCATTGGGTTCCAATTTTTAAATGACATTTTTAACCCAACGTTAGGGTTTTCCATATTTGACCCAAAGTTGGGTTAAAACAACCAAGCATTTTTAGAGTGTAGTGAAATATTCTTAGAATTTAAAATAACGGTTTTCTATTTTAATATATAGTAAAATGTTAATTATTCCTGTGATGCAAAGCTGAATTCAGCATCATTACTCCAGTCTTCAGTGTCACATGACATGGTCCTTCAGAAATCATTCTAATATGCTGCTTTGGTGCTCAAAAATATTTCTTATTATTACTAATGTGCTGCTTAATATTTTTTGTTGAAACTGTTTGAAGAAAAAATCATGTCAATTGGAAATTTACCCCACTGAAAAGTTTATATTTCTTATAATATTCATAAATCAGTTTCCCTAAATGATCTTCATTTGAATTAAATTCAGGATGTTTGGATTTATTTATGGGAAAACAAAATTCATACCAGTTAAATTCAATTATTCAAGTACTGTTTTTTTTTTCATAAATATATAGTGTATATTTTTATATTATATAAATATATAAAATAAATATAATATATAAATAAATATAAATATATAGTGATAAATATATCTATAAGTTTGTATGTGTCTATTGCTTTGGCAATATTGTGCTATTTTACACATTCATGCCAATAAAGCTAATTTGAATTTGAATTTTAGTGAAGTTTGAGAGTTTTTCGAATGATTTGCAATAAAGTCCATCTGTCATCAGTGTTTTGTTTTTGTTTTTTTTTTTGCCGTGACAATACAAGTGGACATCTTCATCATCAGAATGTGGGCCTTCAATTAGCAACAACACCTGGTAACAAGCAACAACGCAGCCAAAATGCATTAGTGAGGAAGCAGTGCACTTATTTCTCTTTCAATCTTCTCTCTCTCTCCATCACTACCGCCATGAGTGCTCTGAAACTTTAATCTCTTTAGCATGGTGGTGGAAAGAGAGCATTGTTGGAAAGCGTCTAAGCTATTAGGCCTTGCCTTCCTGCTGAAGTGTTTGCATTGGCTCAGTTCTCACAGCTGTAAGCGGCTGACTTCGCCTCTGACATATTTATTGCCAAAAAAAAGCATGCCTGGGCCACATTTTGTTCATTAGAGAGATTATATTTTACAGAGAAATACCCAATATTAATTTAGTTGCGCTTCATTAGCTTCCTTATGCAAACAACAGAGTGATGCACTTAACAGCTTGGCTGTTTTGGATTTTTTTTTTTCTTTGTCAGTCCTAGTATGTCGGACATTTCAAAGGCAAACAGGTATAAATTGAAGTTAAAGGTGTAACCTTAATATGAAGGACTGAGCTAAAGTATTTTTAAGATTTCATTTCCACAAGAAAAAAAAAATCTTTATCTTTACTGTTACTCTAACTCATTTGTGGTCTGACCTGCTCCTTCGCCTCAATTTATTAAAAAGGTCATCATTATTTATTTTTTCATCTACAGAATATGAGGAGGAAGAATGGAGCGACTGGTCACCATGCAGTGTCACCTGTGGACACGGGAATCAGAAGAGGATTCGTTCGTGTGGCTACGCCTGCACTGCCACAGAGTCACGGACATGCGACTTAGAGCGTTGTCCTGGTGAGACTGTCAATACTGTCACTTAGACTTAAGCCTTTTCAACCCCACAATGCACTTCACTGCATAAATTTAGCAGTTAGCACACTGTTTATCGATACTCTTCCCTAAAACGTCTTGATCTTAATTCCATCTGGCTCCTTATTATGCTGATAGTGATGGAAAACTCCACTAATGCCTCATTCATCTCTGTCAGGCATGCAGAAGTCGAACAAACACCAGGGGCACCAGACTCGTGGTAGAAAAGGAGCAGTCTGGCCTTCTGTGTGTGTACTGTATACACTATGAAACTGCTCTTTGAGAGCAGCAGGCATTTACTTGGCTTCAGTATGACAGCTCAATGAGGGCTTTCATTTTAAAAGCCCCTGATACAGGGCGGTCCACAAACCTGCCGTGCACAAACGCGCATACACAAAATGAGTTCGCTTGCAAACTCAAATACACTAAGTGAGGCTCTTCAGTGCTGAACCTACATCAACACAACACCATAGAACTTTATTTTAACATTTTGAGATGCTGAAAAACAATAGCTATTTGATACTAAGAGAAAGTTAGCATTCCAAAAATAATTAAGGAGCTAATCAAGGTAATGCAAGGAGCCTCGAAACGAACGTGCTGGTGGAAATAATTTGGAATGGGAGAATTTATTATTTATTTATTTATTTATTTTTTTGCGTTCTCCTGAGAAACTTTGCGTTCCCTCGCAAAACTTTTGCATTCACTTGCAAAAGTGCACATTCACCTCCTGTTTAATGTCCCGCTGGCAGTGTTTTAGAGCTCCGTACGTTAATGGAGCGTTTCATAGTGTTTGAACTTGGACTCAAATGTAAAAAAATGTGGTCAGTGCTAGGATCTATCACAGACTCGAACTTCCTGGATCAATGACTCGTGAGCTAAACGTTGTTAAAACACAAACGACACATCTTTACAATCACATTAACATAGACAATGAGCTACAACCCAATTGTCCTCAAAACGAGCTTCACGTAATTAAATGTGTCTCTAACCAGGCGATTGAGAAACAACTCTGAATAAGAGACCGCCTGTAAAGTGCAAAACCTTTTTTGGGGGTTATATTGCACTTTGCAGATGGTCCCTTTCAGTCTCTCAGCCGTCTGCTCATAGAGATCAATTCATATAAGCTCATTTTGAGGGAAATGTGGGTTGTAGCTCACTACCGTGATTGTAATATTTGTGTTTTAACAACGTTTAGCTCATGAGTTTTTGATCCGGGAAGTTCGAATCTGTAATAGATCCTTGAGTTAAGCACTCACCACATTTCTTTACATTTGAGTCCAAGTTCAAACACTATGAAATGCTCCATTAACGTAGGGAGCTCTGAAACACTCCCAGCGGGACATTAAACTGGAGGTGTCTGTCCGAGCTCACAGCAGGTTTTGCGTGGGAACGCAAATATATTTGCGAGGCAATGCAACAGTTTTGCGAGGGACCGCAAATATCTTTGCGAGGGAACGCAACGTTTCTCGGCGGGAACACAAAATATTTGAAAAATAAATATTTCTCCCATTCCAAATTGTTTCCACCACCATGTCCCTTTTGGGGCTCCGTAGTAGGCTAATGTATGAAAAATTGTGTTGGACTACACTAGCAATCAAAGGATAAATATGCTTTTTTGCAGCCAATCAGTATAGACCATTTTGCAAGATGTAAACAACACTGGTCCAGAAACACTTCCTGTTTCAGTTTGTAACTTTTATTTCACATGTAAAGAAAACAACTTAAAGATGTTTGTTTAACTTTCTGATTCAGTTTTATATGTTCTGTTGGTTGTATTTTATCCCAGCTTTTATGTAGTGTTAAAAAAACTGAAACAGGAAGTGCTTCCCCAGACAGCAAACTGACATTGAATCAACGTGGAAACGACGTCTCTCATGACATTGAAACAACGTTGATTTGCTCATCGAATTAACGTTGAACCAACGTCAGACGCGGCATTCTTCAAAGCTAAATGAAATCGAAAATTGGTTTGCTTTCATAACGTTGAAACAACGCGTTGATTTCAAGTTGATTTTCCGTTAGTTTTGAAAGAATGACGCGTCTGACGTTGGTTCAACGTTAATTCGATGAGCAAAACAATGTCAGATCAGCGTTGTTTCGATGTCATATTTCCACGTTGATTCAATGTCAGTTTGCTATCTGGGTCTGGACCAGTGTTGTTTACATCTTGCAAAATGGTCTATAGTTTCGACAGCAGCGGATAACCTTAACACCATAGACTGTATAAAACAATGGACGTAGTGTCCCGTAGGTTTCTGGAGAACATTTTTGAAGCCCAAAGTGGGCGGAGCCAGCCATCGCCATCTTGGCAGTGCATCAACGTGCGTCATCCTGGATAACCGAAAAATGGGTAAAGGGGCGGGATTAGCTGAGGTGACAGGACGGCTAACAAACGGCTAGTAGTGACTGCAGCGGCAATCCACCTGTCACTCAAATGACCATGCACTTAAATACGCAGAAGTTTAAAGCTTAATGTAATTTAAATGGATGAGTTATAAAAATTCACCAATGTTATGTTAATTTGATTCAAATTCCAACTTTTGAAACTTAAAAATTTTACTTAACCAGTTCTTCAAATTCAGTTTTAAGTGTAAATCAGTTGTTGTATTTTCAACACGATCGTTGAGGTCATGTTTTGTGTTTTGTTTCAATCTTGATTTTAAATATCTTCTTTCTCTTTTAAATCTATAGATGACATAGTTCCTGTGACCGAACTGGCTCCTCACGAGGTGGCAAACAGCTCAGAGCTTTTTGACACAGGTTGGTAATGTACAATATGGTGTGGGCATTCAACAATTCAGTATTCTGGTAGTAGCGTAGTTCTTTTTGTGCCATGGTACAGAATGATTACCATATTTATTCAATGTGGTATTTACCAACACATTCTCATCCCAAGATGTCATCTAACTGACGCTTTTGACCATACGTCAACATCCAACGTTTTAGGGTACCCTTTCAGTTAGCTACCTTTAGCGTCAGTTAGATGACGTGGGTAGGTTTAGGTCTGGGGTAGGGTTAGGATTAGATAGCGTCATCTATCTAATGACGTCTTGGGATGAGAACGGACATGGTACATGCCCACATTTCCATTACAGTATTCATTTGTTAGATATAGGCAACAATGTACTGCACTATTGAATCTCTTAATGGAAGTGTCAGCAAATTGCCTATCAAGCTTCTAGTGTGTTCTTTTATTAGTTTAATCAGTGATTATTGATTTGTCTTAGCTTTATTTTAACTTAATGTCTAGTTCAAAACCCGTTTCATTAGCTTCATTGTAGGAACTGCTCCTTTGAGACTTCAGCGGGAGGAACTCTGTGGGAGTCCTGTTAGACTGCAAAAGATCTGATGTTCACATTTTTCACAAATGCTCCACAGAGAGTGTTACTGAGACCACAAAGTAAAGAAAATTCTTCCAAAACTCCCACTGTTTGCTTTGGAGTTTTTTGTTGGTCTCTCATTTTTGGCATTGAACATTGAACGTAATAGCTCTTTTCATTTAACCGTAATAATAATAATGAAGGTAGTTTAAAAACATAACAGAATAAAGTGTTTTTTTAATCTCTTCACAATGGAACATAAATGTTAATAACAACTTTGTTTCAGCCTGACCGCTGCCTGCAGCACATATTTTATGGACAGTATCTTTACATTTTGGCAGCAAACAGAGACAACCCCCATTACGTGTTACACCATGAATCTCAAAATGGCCATAATTTGTTTGGCATTGTAAATGAGACTTGATGTAAGACTTAAAGGAGTTAGTTCACTTTTTTTTAAAAAAAAACTTTTACTGATAATTTACTCACTCCAATGTTATCCCAGATGTCCATGTCTTTCTTTCTTCAGTTTAAAAGAAAGGAAGGATTTTGATGAAAACATTCCAGGATTTTCTCCATATAATGGACTTGGGAACCAAATGGTTCAAGGTCCAAATGAGAGTTTCAGTGCAGCTTCAAAGGGCTTTAAACGACACCAGACAATGAATAAGGGTCTTATCTAGAACCCTTCGAGTCATGACTCGAAAAAAGATTTGTTCATTTTGAGTTCGAACAGGAGAGTCACGAACGTGCATCACAGAAAAGAGCAAGGCGAGCATTTGTGCTTAGAAAACTTAAACTTTTTTATTTATTTTTGAAATGATAGATGGTTTTGCTAGATAAGACCCTTCGCCTGGTGTCGTTGAAAGCCCTTTGAAGCTGCACTGAAACTCTGATTCGGATCTTGAACCATTTGGTTCCCAGTAAAGTCCATTATATGGAGAAAATCTTGGAATGTTTTTATCAAAAACCTTCATTTCTTTTCGACTGAAGAAAGAAAGACATGGACATCTTGGATGACATGGGGGTGAGTAAATTATCGGCAAAAGTTTTTTTTAAAAGTGAACTACTCCTTTAATATCTTAAATAAATGTTTGTAGTTTATGGAACTTGAGATATTTTTACTTATTTATTTAATATAGAAAAATGATGCCACCCTTATTAAATTGATCTAATTATCCCATAGATGTTGACAGCTGTGAGAAGTGGCTTAACTGCAAGAACGACTTCCTCCAGAAATATCTACACCAGGTCCTGACCGAATTGCCTAACTGCCCTTGCATCTACCCATCCGAGGTGGTCTACAGTGCTGTCAACATCTTCGATAGGAAGTTGCAAAAGACCTATCGCTGGCGAGATGCCAGCGGACCCAAAGAGAGGCTGGACATCTACAAACCGTCTGCGAGGTTCTGCGTTCGCTCGATGCTCTCTTTCGACAGCACCACATTGGCTGCACAGCACTGCTGTTACGACGATCACATGAAGCTCATCACTCGAGGCAAGGGCGCCGGAGCACCCAACCTCATCAGCACAGAGTTCTCCCCGGAACTTCATTACAAAGTGGACGTGCTCCCGTGGATCCTGTGTAAAGGAGACTGGAGCCGCTTTCATTCGGTTCGGCCTCCCAATAACGGTCTACAGTGTGTCGAGAACCCACAGGAAGACGTCTACATGAATGAACTGGAAGAGGCCAGGGAGTACTGATCCAAGGAAAACTGGATTTCAAATATTATTGGCACTCCACCAGTCTTGAAGGCAATAAAAGCCTCCTACTTTCTAATTCGGCGGCAGTTCTACAGATATTGACTCTCATTGGTCAAACTATTTAGCTGACACTAAATGGAGCTGTAGAGAGAGATTCGTCTGAAGACTAAAGCTTAGATACTGTCACTGTGTACAGCTCCACTGCAACTGGTCCAAAGTCTAGATCTGGATTGGAAGACCATGATGCAATTTTCTCTGTTGTTTCTTCTTTGACGTTACGTGCGTGCTCCAAACAAAGTTCAGCGACAGTTCTTCAATGGCATTCTCTGGAACAAGTTCACTGTATTTGCATTGGATGCATGTTTGTTTTCCTTCAGCGTCCTCAAAGACTCTGATCCACCATTTAAGGAATTCCAGTAAAGCTGCTAGAATTTCGAGATATTCAAAAATGCAACAGAATGCTGATTTTGTTGTCTTTAAGCCTGAAGCTCACTCCTGGCCTCGCTTCAACCCGTGCAAGATCAGTCCAAACAAATCAAACAAAAGCCACACAATTCACAAACCAATTCAACTCTTTAGAGCTTGTATAATGTTACGCCGAATGTGTCATTGGACAGATATTTATGCAGGATCATTTGACCTATCTTTTAGCACATAACTGTCGCGGAACGACATCGGGGAGTCTGAGAAACTTTAGGAAACCATTTTTTGAACTTGCCTTTGAGAAGACGTCCCTTAGCAATGGGAGGCTTGTTTTTTAAAATCTGAGGTATAATTGGATCCCATTCTGTTTTCTTTTTTGCCTTTCAACACAACTCAGCTTTGTACTGAATGCAATATGAGACAGCCGCCTAACACCAGTGTAGGGGGCTGTCAGAGCTCAGTTGATGGATTGAAGTCTTCCTCTAAAGGTGAGGTGAAGGTGACACTTTTTGTAAACGAACATATCTTTAAATACAATGGCTCTTTCAGTGTCTCTGTTCATCCTTGAGTCCCGATTAAAGCCTGGAGGCTCACAAGGGATGTAGTTTGAAGGACCTAAGCCGCCCTTTTCAGCACAAGTGTTATCGTGATCTCTTTGTGAGATGTTGACATGGAATGCTGGTGATTTGATTCCTAAATTCCCAGTGACAGATGACTGTTCCATGTAGCAATGAACACACCCACCTTGTGATTTTAAGCACAGTTCTATCAAATCTGCTTTATACTTTTTTCCTAGAAAAATGAATAAGAATACAGTATTTGCATGGATTACTGTTGAAGCTGTTACTAAAAGGTGCATTGTTCAAATCCCAGGATGGAGACTGCAAGGTAAAGACTTCAATGCTGTTGTCATCAAGGGATTTTTGATACAAAACCATTATGCAATTGCCGTTTTCGCTGTGAATTGGATCAAGCAATATTGTTGTGATTTAAAACACCAATTATCAGTGCACTCGTCCAGAAGCTTGCACACGGTTCATACTTGGTTCATCTCAAGATCTACATTCCTGTAAAGTTTAGTTATAACTCTAAACTTCTGAACTGAAAAAGATTATCTTCTGAAAAAGGTAATCATGGCTTGAAAAATACAGATAACACTAAACTCTGCAGAAAACTAAGCCAAGCACATTAGCATCACTTATGATCCCTGTCAGACCTGAGCAAAACCGTAAAGATATTTTCATTGAGATAACAGTAAATGGCAACTATGAAAACATCATTCAGTCCAGCTGTAAGAACTTTGGAAACATTCAAATACCCTGCTCTTTGTGGTGGTATATTTACTTCAAATATTACAGACATAATTTTTTTTGGTATTTGTGGTATTTGGTATAATTACATTTTAGCAAAAGTCAAAAAACTTTGCATACAATTCACTGTAGTTTCCAGCTGAAATGAACACTAGAGGCTGTAATACACCAACAGCCTTTATTCCTTTTAACCTTTCCTTTTATTGATTAATATTGACTTAACATTGCCATATTCATGTTCATGGAAGTTTTATGAAATGTGCAAGAAGCAACGCAATATCATTTTGCAGAAATGTCGCTACAGGTATGTATTTCCAATGGTTCTGACTAGTAAATCAAGTAAATCTCAATGTCTGCATGCCCAAGTTTTGACTTTGGCTTTGTGTCACAATATTATATTTTCAGTAAATAAACTGATGAATGAGGGTATTTTGATTGGAAAGGGGATCTTTGTCCCTTTTTTTTCTAATTTGCAATACTGTCTATTGAAGTTTACGAATAATACACTATTTTCTAGGTACATTTGATAGTAACAGTTCACCTTTCAGAGCTTCAAATAGAAAGGCACTTTATTTAAATATCAATAATGGAATATATGTACTATGTGTATATAATCGTATATTGAATTAAACTTGTATAATTTACTGATTTAAAACAAATTATCTTATTGTAAGAGGATAAATAACAAATGCTGCATTTTTCAAGAATATTGTATTTAATGTAAAATTTTGGCATGTCATTTTTAACTTCAGATTTATCCTTGTACAGTATTTATTGCTTTTGATTTTGTAACACATTGTTATTAAGTGGATAATCAAATAATTCTATGCACTATATAAATCTGAGTTTTCTGGTCTGTGAAAAGGAAAGTGCCATACCACACACCGTTCTACTTCAATAATGTTTCTAAAGTCATCTTTTGTTGTATTAAACACTCTTTGGCCAGATATAATAAATGTAACTTTGATAATGTCATGCGTGTTTTAATTACAGTGTCCAGTAAATAATTATGTGGAGTTTAGTTGAAGAGATTTGATTTGTTGAAGTATTTTAAGGCTGTATTTATTTGATAAAAAACTGTAATATTATGCAATCATTATTATTTAAAATAGTAAAGGCTGCATCAACATTCAACATCTTCAGTCTTCAGTGTTACAAACATGCTGATTTGCTGAAGAAACATTATTCTTGTAAGATGAAAACAGTTGTGTTCACTTTGATGAATAGAAAGTTTGATGAATAAAAAGTTAAAAGTCTTTTGTAACATTGTAAATGTCTTTACTTTTGTTCAATTTATGAACAAAAAAAAATAATAAAAATTGGATAAAAAATATTAATGTCTTTTCACACACAAAAAAAAATATATAATACATACTGACCCCAAATTATTGAATGGTGTATACTGTTACAAAAGCTTTATATTTCAGATAAATGCTGTTCTTTTGAATTTTCTTTTCATCAAAGAATCTTGAAAAAAAAGATAAATTTCAATATTGATAATAATAATAAACGTTTTCTGAGCATCAAAGCAGGATGTTGGAATGATTTCTGAAGGATCATGTGACACTGGACACTGGAGTAATGATGCTGGAAATTCAGCTTTGCCATCAAAGGAATATATTACATTTTAAAATATAAGTTATATTACATTTTAAAGTATAAGTATATATTTCATTTTAATATATAAATAATTTTAAAGTTTTAATGTTAATGGAAACTCCAGAACATCTCAATTGTGTTCCACCCACACCCTCCTGCCGCAAGTTGTCTTATTTTTATTAATAACCTCAAAAAGGATGTGTAAAATGGCTGCACATCTCATAAAGTTTTTAAATAGCTAAAAAAAAAAAACATGAAGTGTGGACAGCTGTCACAGCAAACAGCAGTCATTTTTAATTTGAGCATGATGGAGTTACAGTAGGCTATGGGTTCTCATTTTCCGGTGGAGATTAGGTTGCCTTGAACACGTGTCGCCCCCTTTTCTCAATTATTAAGAGGGAGAACATTTTGTTTTTGGACGAAAAGAATCATTAGCTTTAAGTCTAACTAATGCAAAATGAATTGGACAACTGGCTTGGTATCATTTCTTTATTAGAACTGTGCTTAATGTTGCGTATTGAGTAACATAGCTGAGAAACAAGCCCTGGAGGGTTTTTACTGTGCTTATCGTTGAATAGCAATCTTGCTATGTGCCATCTGCTGCCTTAATAATCTAATTGCCTTCATATTAAGTATCGCTTAAATGCTTCAGCCAGGACACAACCAGAACCAAGTCCAAGTCAGGTGCTGCAATGGAGGTCAATCCCCTTCTGTTCTTTGGGAGCCCACTTAGTGGATTTCCTCAGCGGTTTTGTCAGATCTGCCTCAGATGTATTTTACTCTGACATTGTTGCCTGATGCCATTTTCCTCTTCCGTCGTAAATGGGTGTAGATAACGATGTTCAGGTTGTCATTCAAAAGCCTATGTAAAAATGTGCAACAATTCAGTACAAACAATCATATTTTGCAACCGCATAACCATCCAGGGGTGCGTTTCCCGAAAGCATCGTTAGCCAACTATGGTCGCAAGTTCCGTCGTTATCTGCATAGTTTAACGAGTCGGTGTTTCCCGAAACCATCGTTCCAACGGACATTCGCAAACAGCATCGCAAAGTTGGGTGGTTTGAACGACAGCTCTCGACCTGTGGCATCGTTTCTATATTGCATGACATTTGGAGGTAATAAATCCTTATCTTGAGCAAAATAAGCAAGCTGACATTCAGTAAAACCGGTGCCTTTTATTTAGAATACATACAAAATGTAATTTACGTCTTTTAGTTTTTCAAAAGATTTGAAGTAACCTGTTTGAAGAGTGCGCATGTGCGAACGTGCAAGTAGCCTTGTAAGAACGAGCCAAATATTGAGTTTAGTAATAAAGGAAAATGACTGAGAACAAATAGTTCTCAGGTGACATGTCTGTAATTTATATATAAACATTCTAGAGTTAATTGCATCTCAAACAGTTTCATTAAAAGTAGCCTAGTTATTACTCCACCACGTGCGAAACCAAGGTGTTTGAACGATACTTTGCGACAATCGGTTTCGGGAAAAAGCCATAACTAGCTAGTTGATTTCTTCAAAGATGCATCATACTATGGCAGTGAAGCAGCGAGTTACATCGTTGTACGAGAAACGCACCAAACGATTCTTGCAAAAGGAGTGTATACACTGACTTCCAATGGTTTTCAGTCTTTTTACAGGTGGCTTCACAAAAAAGGATCAACTTATTATGGCGCTTTTCCACTGCATAGTACGGTATGGTTCGGCTCAGTACGGTTCGACTCTGCGCGGAACAGTTTGGCTCGCTTCGCGTTTCCACTGCGTGGTACGTTTTGAGTCGGTACGGATCGGTTCGGTTCGCTTAGCTCTGTTGCTTTTCCACTGCAGTAGTACTCCTTCAAAGTGTGTGGGACTGATCGTTATTTGCGCGCGCCTCTACTGCCATGACATCATCTTAAAAGCGCCACATTTTCAAACACAGGAACAATGGAGACTATCGAGGGGATGGTGTTCCTGATTCTCGGTATGTGGTTGTTTTTAACTGCTAGACGGAAAAATGTGTTTAAAATGTGGCTGAAGGCAGCAAAACAAAATACTGCTAAAAAAGTGTCTCGTGTCGTCGCAAATCCAATGACGCTAGTAGTGATGCTGGTAGTGACGATTCTGTCTGACCAATCAGTGATCTGCAGTGTTTCACGTCACATTTTAGTACCGGTACGGTATGCTTGAAACCTCAACAGACCAGGTACCATTTAAAGCGACCCGAAGCGAACTGTACTGTACCGTACCATGCAGTGGAAAGCACCACAAGTGAGCCGTACCGAACCGAACCGTACTGTACCATGCAGTGGAATAGCGCCAAAGTGAGCCGTACCGAACCGAACCGTATCGTACTATGCAGTGGAAAAGCGCCATTAGAGTCATTCGGACCTGGTTGAGCTGAATGTTTTTGATTAACTTATAAAATGTCAAAAAGTCATTATAGTTAGACAAGAAACTCTGACAGAGTTTAGCCAATACAATATTCCGCCCACATCAGCGGAACCGAACGTCATGCGGTTTTGGTAATGTTTGTAATCTGAGGTTTGTTTCTGAATGATATCCTCCCCACAACACCTTAGCATTGTGATGGCGATCCCCATTGACATTGTATTCTTGAGTTACCAGGGGTAACTTTGGTTCAGATATGCTTTAAAACATTTACAAAAAGCAATAAACCATTAGATAGAGTTGGTGGAAACAGTGAATGTTTATTGAAGTCCTTTGAAGTGAACATGGCACCCTCTGGATCTCCCACAGCTCTCGTGGTAATGTTTCTTTTCTATCAGTGAAAATAACAAGCAGAAATTACACTCACTGCAAAGTCAAAACAGAATATTTATTAGAGGTCAGCCCTTCAGTGAGCTCAAAGCTTGGCGGCTTGGAGCTGGGTTCAGGGAGTCAGGCAAAGATAACTGTACCTGTATTTGGGGCTGTTTGCACAGAAAACACCCCCCTCCCGGAGAACCCCAGGAGGCCAGAGGGACGCCTGCTCTTTGTCCCTCGCAACGAGAGGAAATAAAAATAAATAGAGGAGTGAATGGTCACGGGACATTGCTTAAACCCGGATCCAGAAACTCTGATAAAGACCCAGTTCTGAAGACAGACAAGCAAATTGGGTTATTCCGTGTACAACTATGGCCTTTGCTCTTGCTCCTGCTCCTATATTATGTCTATTTCCGAGCATATGTTTTCTCAATGTACTGCAAACCATTAATGCATTAGGGGGCATAATTACTGTTGAACACATGAAGAGGAAAGGGTTTAGGGGCTCATGAAACAGGTCTGTTGGAGTGTGCTTAAGCTGGGGGTTTTCTCATATTTTTTAATACTTAAAAATAATATGATTTATTTTTGACTTATCATTCATTTGATTCATTTAGTCACTGAACCTCAGCAGACCAAATCTATGGCTTACAAGTTTTTTGTTGTTTTTTTAGGCATATTTTATTTGTGATGAATGTAGCAAAATCAAGGTGACGTTTTTGGGTTTATGGTGACGTTCCTGTCCCTGAAAACTGTAGTAAATGCTGCTGAATGGCAGGCCAAAAGTATCACTGTGAGCATTGGTGAATGAGAACAACATTTGAGAGGGGCTTGTTTTACAACCACTCTTGGGGCTATAAATAAGGGAGAGAGAGATCCAAAACAGACCTGAGAAAAGTGAGTCCATATGGGTGCTGGTGGAATGGTCCATGATGAGCCAAGATCAAAGCCTTCTGCTCTGAATGAGTACAGCTCCCAGCACAAACTCCTTTTACTAACAACGGATCCGACTGAATAGAGAAGTTATGCTATTGCTTGATTCTGTATCACTTCATTATATTAACTTAATATTTCTATCTTCTAAGACTTACAGTTGTTGACAGAATTATTGGCACCCCTGGTAAATATGATCAAAGATGGCTGTAAACATAAATCTCAATTGTTTATCCTTTTTTATCTTTAATTCAAAAAATTCACAAAAATCGAACCTTTCATTGAAGTAAAAGAATCGAAAGTGGGGGCTTAATCACATTATGAAATGCTTTTCAAACTTTAGAGACCATTCCACAGAATCTTTCCAGATCCTTCAGCTTCCCAGATCCTCTTCAGTTCGCACCAATTATTTTCTGGTTCAGGTCAGGAAGGAATGGCCATGGTAGATGCTTCGTTTTGTGCTCAGTGACACATTTTAGTGTTGATTTTGATTTTTGTTTTGAATAGCTGATGGAACATCCAATCACGGCCCATTATAAGATTTGTAGCAGAGGCTGTCGGGTTTAGATATTTTTTTTAACTGTTGGCATTTGCTATAATCCATGATACCTTGTCTGAAGAAGATGTCCAGGACCTCCATCAAAAAAAAAAGAAGAAGAAGGCCCACATCCATAAATATCCAGCTGTATGGCC